ATTTATTTATTATTTTTAGTTTGTTTACCTTTCAGCTGTGTCTAACTAACATTACAAAGTTGCAATGATGCAGTTCATGTGCACTCATTTTATCGTATCCAACAGTATAAAACTGGCCTCTACAATGTAACCTGTCTTCAGTTTGTTCTAGTGAACCAGTATTTTGTAAAATAGTCACATTTTGGTTATAATAATTATACATGTGTATATATATTATTACTATATACAAATAAGTTCTTAAGTTTCAGTTATTTTTCTTAACACATAGAACAGTAAATTTAGCAATGTAGAAAATAATGATTTTTTCTACTTGCAAACTTTGTAATCATTTGCCAGCTTGCCGTAATTTGCTAAGCCTTGTCAAACTTCACACGTGGAGGATGTAAAACAAAATTATTTTAGGTTTTATATATTCATTTTGAAATAACGAAATATAATGAATCACTCTGTCAATATCGCAGAATTCCACTGGAATTTATCAGGCTTACTAACTAAGCTATATTTAGGTTAATATATATATATATATATATATATATTGTTTTTCAAACAACATTTTCACTTACCCCTTCCTTCTGAGAATCGAGACAAAGAAATAATTTTGGGAACTTTCCACCTTCTAGAGGCTTAGGAAACCACATGGGGGACATTCTGAGCTTTCTATTTGATTATTCACATATCATAAACAGAAATGGGTACTAGAATGGTACTATGTTTAATAAAATTCATTTGTAAAATTGAGTAATAGTTTGTACAATTTTCATGTCAGTTGATTTAGTAATTTGCACAAAAATATGAAAAAGTATATTTACTAAGAACATAAATATATAACATATATTTATTTCACTGGTCCAACCAATACTGGATTATTGATTGTAGGAACTAATTAAATTTTATGCCATAGATTCCTGTGTTCCAACGAGGAGGAACAATTATTGCAAAGAGAGAGAGAATGCGTCGTAGCTCATCTTTATCTCATGATGATCCTTATACACTCATCGTTGCTCTAGATAAAACAGTGAGATTTATTTTTAAATAACTTTTACCTACTATAGAAATTCTTTTTTTTACAGTTTTATTATATTACATATTATGTCCAGAATTTAAGTTGTCATAAGCTCTTTTTTTATATTTTTTTCTAGAATACTTCATAAACGTTTAGGCCTAATTCATATTGTTACAACTTTACCAAATTAACTAATACCAACATTTAATGCTGTCTTACTTCTAGAAATAAACAAATTAACATCAAATTTATTTTTTTGGTTGTTGTTGGTTTTTTGTTTTATCTAATAGAACACTCAGTATTTTACTTTACAGCTTCTTCAGAAGGGTTATGCTAAAACAAGCTGTAACTGAGAGTACAAAGCTTCAATTGGTTTAAGAAATTCTAATTGATTTTATAGCTTGCATTTCTAAAACATGAATTTGATACTATATGTACTGAAGCTCATTGTGGGATAATTAAGTTGCTGAAAATGTTGTGTCTGTTTAAATAAAAAGCTAAACAAAAAGCCAACTAAATTTGATATAACTATCAAATTTAGTTCTAGAACACAATGTCTTTTATACTCCAGTATGCTTTATGGAAATTAAGTATTTAATGTTATTTTGGTTTTATATTGTTACAATAAGGTTAATGTTTACAGAACAGATTTTGTTGTTTAGAATTTCAGTGTTTTGTTTGGTGCTTATTCTTAAATTTCATTATCTCGCACTGTTTGAAGAAACTGTAAAAATGAAACGTTACACAAATAAATCTTTTTTTTTCAATTGTTTAAATCAAATAAATGTAGTAATGTTATTATAGAAAGTTTGATGCAAATTGATCATCATTCTCTGTTATTATGAATTAATGCATCTATTCTTACGACTTTGATAGACCTATGATACTAAACCATACTTAAATTGGTTTTTATTAGGGGCAGTTTGCCAATGGTAATCTTTACATTGATGATGGACATACATTCCAGTACAAACAAGGAGAATATATTTATCAAGGGTTTTCTTTTAAAAAAGACACTCTAACAAACCAGTAAGTATATTTTTATATTTACTTCAGTTGTACTGTTTTTTTTAGATTAAGTGTTGTTTTCTTTTAAGATCTTACTCTGCCTCTGATAAAAGTTTCTTAAAATGAAATTCTGTGTATGTATAATTTCTTTGCCTAATTAGGCAAGAAAAGGGACTACATTAGACATTAGTTGAAGATGACAGCATTCAATCAGTGCCTGAGAAACAGGTTTATGATGAAAAAACAAACATTAGTGCATTTTATTTTTTGATGTAATGAAACAAGGAAAAAAGAGTATCTGAAGAAAGGGTTTGCAAGTCAGCTTGAGAGCTCAATGGTAGCATTGTTCCATGCCTGAATGTGACCGCTTACAAAAAGAAATTACTATGTCTTGCATTTTGTGTGATAAGTCTTAAAAGTCAATTAGGTTATAAATAAAAAATAATATTGTTAGGTTAAAATCTATCTCTTATGCATAGCTTTACATGCAGCATTTGACATATTATGGAAGGATTGTGCCTCTTTCCAGTATCTACATTCCTTTGTATAACTGCAGTATAACTAAGGAAAGTAAAACAAATGCTGGTAATCCACTTGCATTTTTATTTGCCCCTTTTTATACTTTCCATCAACTCCCCTTCCCCCAGAAAATGCTTACCAGGAGTTGCTTCTTGTAAACCCCATCTGTGGATATCAATATATATAAGGTCATGCATACTGATGTCACATGACTCCTTTAAACAAAGTGAACAAAAATAGCTGCACATAATACTGTACAAAATCCCATGGCTTAGGTACAAAAACTATTTTCAAAAGAGCTTGGTAATTTTTTTTTATGGTTGCTTGAACTGAAAGCTATTTTCGTGGTTGTTGTATTAATTTTATTCAAATGACTGAGAAAAACCCCGATTTAATAATAGGTAAGCAAATGATTTATAAGCAGAAGGGAAAAGTTTTACTGATGGTGGAACATACTACATTTCGACAGAACATTGGTCTGTCTTCTTCGGATATGATCAGTACTAAGCAATAAAAGGTTTATATATCATTATAAAGACACAAGGATTAAATCTTATGGAAATTGTGTCAGCAGGTAACAGTATATACATAAAGGTGAATGGTAAATAGACCTTGCCAAGTATGGCTGATGTTGCTAGGGGCCATTATCATAGTTTAGTGAGAGCTTATTTGCTTTGATGATTTCTGTCATTTCTAAACAATCTTTCTTTTTTAGTTTTGTGTAGGAGAAGAATTTCATCCCAAAGTATTTTGTGACCTGCTTCATATTGATATGTTAAGGCAAATATCTGGAATTCACCTCTGCATGTGACCTTGGTGCTCTATGCATTTTATTTCCAAGAAACGTGATGTTTGTCCTATGTATTTCAAATGGGATACTGTATACGTCTTTTTTTTATTCTTTTAATAGGAATTATTTTGGGTTAGGTTGTACGATGCTAATTTCATGTGAAGGTTTGAATACAGTTTTTACAGTAGTGCTTAAATTATTAAAAAGATTAGTCATTTCATTAGCAATTTCTGGCACAAAGGGGAATGAATTGAATTTATGTTTTGTGTTGTTGATAGGTGAAAGGTTAACATAATATTTTTGAAGTTTGACACAAGCCCTATCTATGAAATTGAGGTTGAAACCTCTAGATAGGCTATGTTCTTTAGGTAGTTCAATAAGTAAGTCTTCTTTGTGGGTGCAACATCAGCTGTATTTGGCAAGATCTATTCACCATTCATACACTTGACCAGATTTTACCTCTACCTATATCCTTTCACCTGCTGACACCATTTCCATGACATTTAATCCTTGTGACTTTTGTCTTTGTAACAGACAGACCAATGTTCTGTAAACATGTAGTATGTTGTTCCAACATCAGTAAAACTTTTCCTTATGCTTATAAATCGTCGTTTGCCTAACTATTATTATTATATTAGCATAACATGCTTCCTTACTCATGTATCCAGATTTAAGTTGGTAGTTTCAAAGGAATTCATGATCATCTAAACAAAAAAAAACGTTTTTGTATCTAATAATTACAGAAGAAAATGTATTAAGCTAAATTTCTCTTACAGTTAGGTATTTTTCCTTAAGATGCCTGGCAGATGGAACACAGTGTAAAAACAAATACATCTATTTGTATTTTCAAAAAAAAGGATGGAGTCCAAACTATATTCAAATTGATTCTTCTCCAACTAACATATCACTTGATGTTTTTGTGGTATTTTCTCTAGTTTTATTTGGTTGGTCCATCCAAAAAGGCAGCAACTGGTATATATATATAACATAATTGAATATAATATCACATATTGTCTTTTATCCTGTATATACTCTTGCTTATTTTAGCTTCCCATAGTAATTAGTAGTTTATTAGATCTGAGAGTCTACTAACGTATCATGTAGTATTTAAAACTATTGATGTTGTATTGATTGGTAGCAATAGTGGTTCCATTTGTATTTAGTAAAAACCAACATTGGTTTCTAATTTAAATATAAGTGCTTTTAATATCAATAGTTCATGGCAAGAGTTATGGTAATGAGGTGGCATAGATATCAATGTAGAAGTTTTTGAGCTTGAGTCTTATTGGTCAGCAGTTAAAAAAGTAAGAAATATTAAGTGTTGGCTTAGCATTCTACCAAGATAGTAGCCATTGTTATACAGGGTTCTAAGTTTTTCATGACTTACATTTGCTAAGAACAATGCAAACAATATATTGATCTACTCATCCTTAACTCTAATCCTAACTAGACCTCAGTAAAATTGAAAAAATATTTAGTTGCAACTCTGATTTATTATAAAAAAGTTTGATTGTTGACAGCAACAGTTGCAATTTAAGGGTATTACAGGTGTATAGAGAATTTGCAAAAGCCTAGATCTCTACCTGAAGCTTATTTTGCAGTTACAAAAAAAAAACTTACTAACATTATCAACAGTTATTGAGTGTTTTGATTTCCATTCAATAATTTGATACCAGACGCTAAGTAATTAGCCAGTAATTTACTGATGCTTCCTTCATACTGAAAATTAAAAAACTCTGCAGTAGTTTTTATTTTTTTAATTACTAACTTTCAAGACTAAATGTGCTTATTTTCATGAAGTTTGATGCACTGAAATTTATCACCTTTTAAAAACACACACTTCTGTTTTCTAGTGCTCTTCAAGGTTCAGAGAAGTTTGAAACAAAAGCTTGGTTAGAAAAAGTGATTATTATTGGCATATCAACAGAGCCAAAAACAGTACAAGTGGAAAGCCATGGTAAGCTAATTATAAATAAAATGTTGTAAGATAGTATTTTATTGTCTCCCTTGAATACTTGAGTTGATCAAAAGGTGTTAAAATATTCATTTTTTTAAGAAGGAAACTTCAAGTATTTCAATTTCTATTTTAGTTTTAATTTTTAATTATTTATGTTATTGTATTCAAATGCCTGAAAAAAACGCATGATTTAAGTCTCTTATCATATTGGTTAATTTACATTATATCAACTGACAGGGAAAATGTGAAGAATACCTGTGCTGTAGTTTTCTTATTTAGACCTACTTAACGGTTTTGCAAAAATCATAGTCATAAATTCAGAATACTGTGACTAAAGATGAAAAAAATTTGATTTTTAAATGCTTTTCATAATTTAAGATTTTTTTACTGTGGTATATATACCATCTTTTAAATATCAATTTTTTACTTTCAGATTTTGGTAAAAAAAATCTTCTCTTCACCTACAAAAGTAGCACTCAACTTTTAATAATTCGAAAGCCAGCTGTAAACATTGAAGCAGAGTGGAGTATTAAGCTACTTTTTTAATGATTCTCTGGCACTTAAAGTATAACTCTAATTCATCATACACAATTTTGAGTGAACCTGTACCGAAATTATGTCACTTTTTTGTCTGATTTTTTTTTATGTCTATATAATTATTCGATTTTTTTTATGTGTACACTAATGCTTTGTATCGGAGTATTTGGATGATGGAGATATTTCTCTTTGAGGAGTTGTTTAGCTTAACTTAATGATGTTTTATTTTTTTAACAAGGGGTCAGTAACTGTTGAATCATTATATTAGAATTTGGTTTAAAAGTTATATTTGATCAGGAAAGGGATGTGTATAATCAAAAAGCAGTTCGGTGTGATATATAATAGAAGTATATATATCATAAGTATTGTGTAAACTCAATAAGAAGGTTCGCTTAGAGCTTTGTATTTTATTTCATAGCACTTGAAAATTGTTGTGGGACAGGGCAAGTAATTGAGTTTATATATTTTGAATCATACTGTATGTTTATTCATGTTACATTTCAATAGGGAGATAAAAGATAATTTTATCAATTTAAATATTTCTTATAATGAAATAAAACCATTAATTTATTATGTTTCAAAAACAGCTGCAATTTGTTTCAAATCTCAACCAAATTACTTAGATGCTTAAAGAACAGATAGTCATAAATATGTAGATTTTAGTGGTACTTCTAAATAAGTTAAAAACTAAAATGTATCTGATATTCTAAGATTTCAATCATAAATTTTGAAGAAATATTCAATATTAGACCTGTATATTAAATGCTTTGTTATTGGTTTGTTAACAAAGAGCAAAGACACTGCATAATTATTGTTTCGAATGTTTCTCGGTTAACATTTAAATCACTGTAATTCAGCATTTTCAGTACTGTTAAACACTGATAAACATTTATTTGGCTGTGATTTTAATGTGTTATAAATTAACATATATGCTTGTGCAAAAGTAAAAAAAAAACTATCTTATCCAAAAAAGAAATTAAATAGCTGTCTATAATTTTTTTAACTTCAATTTAAACTGTGAATAACTTTTGTTGATTCTTTTCAAACAACATCAGATTTAGTGAGTGTACCTTCCAGATCAATGTGGCATATTACCTAAAGCTAGCAGCTTATAATATGGTTTGATAAACCAGTACATCAGTTTTTCCGTTTAACTATTGTTCTCGTAACTGACAACTTATTGCTGCATGAGACATTCGAGATATTTAATCACATTTTTCTTAAATATTTTGTCTGTTTTTAAAAATGCCCCAAATGTTTAACCTTTGAATAAGATCTTTTATTAGAAGTGACAATGATATTAGATACAACATACAGAAACAAAACGTAATCATTTTGCTGTTTAAACTCCCTATCAATTTTTATTCTAGCGTTTTATAAAACCCCACAAGTGTCATTATTGTGAAAAATCTCCTGTATTAACTTAACGGGCATCATTCAGAATTCCTAACATTAAAAAAAGGATTGTTTCCCAGAATTGGGACATTTAAGTAAACAATTTGGATTTCTTGCCATCAGCACAAATCCTGTTATTCCATCAATTTTATTTTTACTGGATGTATTTGAAATATAGGCACTTTCAGCAAGGTAATATTATAGGTACATTTCTATAAAGTAACTCCATTTTTTGTTTACGTAAAAGACCAACTGTTCAGTTCACATGTGAAACGTAGTTTCAAAAAAACTACGCAATGAGAAGCAGAGTATCCATGGACAAAATTTCTATCAATAATTAGATAATTTTTTTGTTTTTGTTAAGTATTACAAAAAGTCCTCCAGTATTAATCTTTTTAGCTAATTTGTTGGATACTTCACTCAGAAATGTAAGTTAAGAAATAAGCTATAATACACACTATATAAAACATGTGGTCTCCACTCGTGTAATGATTTAGTATTGGATTCAAATTTTACCTCAATGTCACTTTCTGTAACAAACCACAGATTTAACTTTAGGTGAGACAGGATATACTTAGTCGATTGCAACTCGTGGTCAGTTGAAACACGTGTTTATTAGCTGTAAACATTTGTAACCACAGTTAAAATATGAATATTGTTTTATTTGTAAATACAGAACATTTTTATTCCACCTAGTTTTGAACATGTACTGCACCAGATGTTGATACCGTTTTTTTAATTGAAAAAGGAGAATTAAAGGTACTTAAGTTAGTTACACCGGTTCGACAATAGTATCACCGAAAGCTTAAATAATTAAACTATCCATTAAACCTGACGAGCTATATAAATATCTAAAATGGTAAGATTTCATTACTATTATTAAAACGATAGTACTGACCTAGTAAAAATGATGAATAGTCTCATGTATATTTAGGAAGAACGGCTGACCTTTGGCCTAAATTCCATAGTACTCATCATTTCATGGCTTAAAAGCAAATATTTGGAAGCATAAAAATAACATTTAATAGACTTTTGTGGAATAAAATTGCGTAAATATACGTAAGAGGGTCAACAACGACAAATGCCAACAGTCACTTATGTTTTAATGGAATGAAAGAAATGTTTATTCAGAAGTGTAGCTTTTTTTTCTCTCTTTTAAGTGAAACCTACATAACTTAAATATCTGTTGTATTGCTCTACATATAATTTCGTTATTCGAGGGATTTTGTACGAATTTCGAAGGTTTTTTTTTTATGGTTGTTGTTAGTGAATTATCCACATCGTGTCTATTCCGTTATTGTGGGATGTATATTTGTTTCTTCTTAAAACTTTAGTGCTTTAAAATAAAGCTGTTTTACATTGGAAAACTTATGTAATTTTTGATACGGAGAAGAAATCTGGAGTTTTATAGTGTGTTATGGTTGATTCTCTTGAGTTCTTGTCATAACCACCTCCAAAAAAACTTAATATTTCCAAAATTTACATTTTTCTGGAGGGACTATTTTTGTTTTTCCTCTTTTTTTTTATAAAAGGTTTTCGTATATGTTGTTTGCTTTTTTCATGTAACCTGGCGGTAAATTTAAGTGCTTATGACGCTAAAATTCTGGGTTGAATCCCTGTGTAGGCCTATCATGCCGCCTTGCGCTTAGCAATAAACACGTTTCAGTTGTTTCTACATTTTTTTTTGTCAGTGACATCTCAGTGGTGATTTCTGACGACAATTTATTTCTTAAATTGATGGTTTCTGATTTAAAGGGGGGGGGGGAGAGGTGTATCGATTCCATTTTTTGTAAATCCGTCCAGCTGCATAGGTCCAAATTTACGGATGGAGTCCATACACGTATTAAACACACATTTCTATACTGTTTAGTACCAAATTGCTTGCGGTTCCATGATAAGCGAGTCACAAAAAAATACAATCAATATTGTAATTATTTACTTGTGTATGTACATAGTAAA